CATTAAACATAACAATGTTGTACGTTTGTTCGACATCTATCACGGAAGTCTTGAATATCGAATCAACTTTGACATGTACAAACCGTAGTTTTTGGAAGCAGTTATATCACTATCAAGAAAGGGAAGGTTCAGTTTAGGAAAGTTGAAACCGTCCCGCTAACTTTACAGCTTCATACATCATATGTAGCAAAATGTCCCTGTTGTTTACGTTGTAAGTGCAGATCGCGAAAAGCTGCTTAGGTAGAACAGTCTAAAGTGTCCTTGATTTCAAGCTCAGGAGGGTATATCTGAATGTGAATTAAAAGGGTTTGTAAAGGTGTTTGTTATTAGTCCTGATAAGCTCACCAATAAATGCAGCCTTATGTGAACACAAAACACAAGTTGGCCTGAAAAGGGACACAGTGTGTTCCAATAAAAATGTCTACTGTCTGTTGGAAAACCGTCTACCGAACTCAATACAGACATTGTCAACCAGAAACTCAATCATTCTCATAATTCTGTCATCTAGGTATTTCATTTTCGTCTTTGTTGTGATTTTTACAAAATATGCTCCAAAATATCTTTTTATATATATTAGGTAAGACGCTCTCATAATAAGGCCTCGGAGGCGTTTCTTCCGCTTGATGTGAGGTATGTTAGTGTAAAGTGTCGAAAAGGCAACAGGTTTGATAAAAGAAACATATTTCAGAAGAAGATGTCTTAAATTGAACAAAAGATCTTTTGAATGCTTTAAAATCCACATTCCCTTTATTCCATTTCCCGAGTATACAGTGTCAAAATACGACTGTAATCCTGATTTAATGGTAATAAAAATGGTAGATAGGAGTTTAGACAATGGCTTGCTTGAACAACTTAAAAGCCAGCTTATACAATATTGTTATAAGGATTCTAGTTAAGCTCTGGAATCTAACAAATACAATATAAAGTGAGTAACAGATGAACAGATAGTAACGTCACGTATGTGATTCTGTATATGATACACGCTGCATCTGCGTGTAACACTACCGACTATTTCATGAAGATAAAATGTTTTATGTACATGGACTAGACATAAACTAAGGTAATGTATCAATTAAAACATCCAGCGTTTGCAACTAAACTCGAGCATGTGATTGACGCCGCTTTTTTGATTAGTTTGGCTTGTTCTGACACATGCGTATAACTAACCTATATGCACTTTCCCGAAAGAAAATGATACGGGGAATGGTCATGATTTATTGTCGTCTAACAAGGCTTGGCCTGGAGATGGATGTCAAAGGTATAGCTATAAATCAAAGGTGTGACGCGCAATTAGGAACGCAGTAAATAAAACCCCTTTGGGAGAGAGACTGATAAAAAATTATAGATCTTAAGTGAGATCTTTTGTTCTCAGCATGCACAAGCCATCAATGAGTTCATGAAAGTTTTGTGTGCCAGGGTTCATTTAATTGCTCAATGACTTCATAGAAACTTGTATAAGGAAAACACTTTTCTAAAACCTCTGTTACACAGTCAAACTCTAGAATTGTCCGGTGGTCTCTGGATAGGCCTGGGATAGGACCAGTATCTAGATCTTTGTTGCATGTATTGATTGAAGACATTTTCTCTCGCGAATGTAAGCTTGCCACGCGATTAACTCGTTCACCCATTTCACGATTACAAAGACACGTTGTGACCCTCTCACAGATTGTATCGCTTTTCAGAAAATAAAGATATTTCTTTTCAGTGATGTTATCCTTTCTTATTCTTCCACTTGAACATCCACTACAGCGTCTACATAGGTTTCTGACTAAAGAGCACCTGTAATGTAATATGGGGTAAGGAGATGACCGGATTGTAAACTAACTAGAAAGACGGCGATGTATACTTCCTTTAAACACACAACGATTGATATAACAATGGCTCTGTCGGCGTAAATGGAGTTGATGAATGTTCCAAAAATTGGGATTGCATCTGAAATAAAATAGTCGGAGTGCTTCTGATCGTATACAGCTTGTGGGTCTAGTGTACATTGGATACCATATTATCGATAGATGTGTCCAGATCAAACGTTCGATTGTTGTCCAAACTTTCAAAATATCGATTATATCTACCGATGTATTAATTTATTGATAACGAGAGTGATTTAAGTCAGCCAAGTTTTGATGTGTCTGATCCCACGCCTGATAAGACCTGCAAGTGGTCATGAACTCACAATTCCTCATCAGGCGGAAGTGGTTAGGCGGAAAGAGAACTGGTTATTAAGACAGAACACCGGTGGACGATATCTTCCCTCCGACGTATTTAATAACGTAAGGTAATTTCTAGTATAATGATGATAATATCAAGTCTAACAAAGCAAGATACACACTTACAGATGTAGGTAAAATAGTCGTATAGAAAGTCAATGGTATAGCTAATGATTGCCCTTCATTCTGACGGTGTATTCGGTAGTAATACGTCTTTGGCAAGCAACATATTCTATGGTGCGCGATCCATACAGAATATGTTCGTTACCAACTGCGTTCATACTACCGAATTTGCCGTCAAAATAAAGGCCGAACCTTATTTTATTATCATAAAAATTGTTCAAATGCTATACAAAGAAAACAACAGTCGAAGCGGGTTGTTAGAATAATATAGTTCCAGTGAATCTACATCGATGTATGGGTAAATTTAGAAACTACGCAGTGAACAATTTTTCTTCTTTTCATCGTTTTTTAAAATAAATTAATATTACAAGTAGCACTTTTAGTACAACATTTGTATTCATTTGTATTTGTCGTTCTGTAAACGCATTGGCACACTGTTCTGGTAGAGACGCGGTCGAACGTCGGAAAAGGTAGCCGTCATTGTTTACTTTATCGGCAAAGAATTCTGAATGTGCATCCATGAAAAAAAGAAGTTTGCCAGCATCCCTTTGTTGTATGATCAGACGTAATTGATCCCGAATATGTTCCATGTTCTAGATGTTAAAGGAACCAAACCATGACTGTAATTGCACAGAAGCGAGAACGGCGCCATATTTGAAGAAGGTTTCAATCCGCCGAGCCTTTTAACGTTTATGTATATGTAGTCAGAGTTTACCCGGCTGAAGAAGGGAGAGATGTAATTTATAATCGCTTAGGTAACTAGGAACATTTTGTGCTCGTATCACCAAAAAAAACATAAGCCGAAACAAAAAAATGGATCAACTTGGAGTTTCATTAATAATTATAATAATTTGGTTATTGGTGAATCAGTCGATTCTTGGTTTTGATAGATTTGTCATTTGTTTGATCGCACTACACTCCCAATTACCGTGCGTACATCGTACATGCATCGTGCGCTCATCGTCTGCATATATCGCATACACACGTGTTACCTCCATATGTGCGATATGGTAAGATCGGTTGATGTTAAGGATTTTTTTTTTCCGAGAGGCTAGATTGAAATGAGGGTACATCATGCGTTTAATATCCGACCGGTATGTTTTGCACTTCCATGATTTGATACAGCTAGACCTGGTCTGGGTTAATTATGTATGTGACGCTCTACGTGGAAATTTTACGCCTACTTCATGGCTAACTAGATACACGAAATGTATTCGTCACCTGGTAATTACTAGGTAATTATTATAACGGGTGAGATGTAGGGGTGCTTTGTTTTAATTGCATCTGCGTGTACAGTATGTACATGTGTATGACCGTTTACGTTTATCTACACACGTTTCGACTGAAGTAGTTTCTAAACAATTTTGTTATTTGTACACTTTGTTCGTGCTATATTCATCACTGTTAAACACATAGATAACCATATAAATCTGGCTAAATTGGCAAACTACTTAAATTATGAAAGATATCAGTTTAAACACGAAATCGTTTTAATTCATGGACCATTTCTTGTGTAATACCAACAACGATATATGTCAAACAACTGTGCGACAGCTATCGCAAGATTGTGCGCACGATATTATCGCAGTTTGTCATCGTACGCAAGTCGTCCGCACACCGCACATCGTGTAACGTTGAGCGATGCCACAACTGTTCCTCTGAATAGGATATGGTAACTACTAGAAAATGTACAGCATAAGTAATTTTGCAGTAGTTTCCACCACCTCTTCAGACAATGCGTGGACATCGGTCAAGGTTGAATGCGGAGTTTTACCGATCCTAGCAATGACACACACGCCTGGTATCCCACCACTTTACTCGCCCCACTCATTCCATTCCGACGTAGTTTTGTCTTGCCGAGTAGACGCTGTCGGCAGTGACAACGTTAATTATGTTATTGGTAGACGTATGTAAAACGTTAATTGGGACTAATAGATAAACACGTACTGTAAGAAATAGCTAGGGGATACATTCAGGGACAGGATCGATTCTTGCGATGGGTTCATCAGGTAGTTCATTCACATAAGTTTTACGCTCCTCACATTCTCTTTTGTCTTTTGCTTGTGCAAAAATGGCTGGTTTAGAGTTCGAATGCTACGTTTATTTTACAATTTTGTATTTTTTGCAAATATTCAATCCAGCAAAAACATGGATATGTTATTTCAACGATTACTGTTCAATACTGTAAACTAGAAATATGTCCGTACTCCCTATCTTATACTTAGTGAGAGGTTAGCTTTGTCATCTACTTTGTCATCTACAAATACTCAATATTTTGCTAATTCCCTTATTCATTTCGTTATCCCTTTCTTGTAGATACGTTTTATTTGTGGATTGGTACATTGTATTTATGGTGACGAAGACTTTACACAAGTTTCTTTGGACTTGTTTCCGTCTCATATCTACCATATTTTGCTTCAATTACTCTCAAGATTTACTGAAAAAGGACTATTTAATTTGGTTATGAAAACAAGTATCCGAGATTTTACAAAATGTATATTTCGTACATAATGTTATTGCTGTGGTCTAGTTTGATATAATTATAGATTTTGAATTTAAATTTTGATTGAGAGCCTCTACCTTTTCATCAATACGTCATCACAGTTGGTGTCCACTGTTTTACAAACCATAATGTGCACGATAATAAGATAAACACGTGATGTTACTCACCTCCTAAACATGCGTGAATAGACCATCTCCCTCTGCATTTGCCTGTCAAAAGAAAGAGAAGATACAGTTTCAATTTCTGTTGGAGATGAACCAAAGCATGTTATTAACCTTGTCGATTTGCCTGCAATCACCTACATATACATTATTGATTATTTGTTTGATCAAGTCTACATATCATGCTTGTCATCATCGACGCGTCACACATAAACAAGTTACTGGTTGTGCAGTATGAGTATGAACACAAAATGTGTAAGTAACATATTAAACATTAGGCTGTGTGCGTTTTCGTACCTTACAAAAATAAATAAATATATATTTGGCTAATCAGAAATCAGAAAACTAACAGCACATGGACAATGAACACGTCAACAATGAGTGAGGCTTACAGTTCATGTTACATAAGCTGATTCATTTCTAAACCATGAGAAAGGATAATGCAAAAGATAGTATTAAAGAAAGGAAATAGTCTTAAAGACAGAAAGTTGTAATGAAACCTCTGAGCTGATAACTGCTGATTTTAACGGTCTGTTCACAAGTGAAATACTTCATGTATATGTATGTATATAGCAAGGTGATCCACACTGTTGGAATTACTTCTTTGCTCCATATGTATATAGCACGGATACATTGCTACAAGATAATTGGCATAAAAAGTAAAATGATTTTTGAGGGAATTAGCAAAGTGTCTAACAAGTGAAACCTCTTCCAAGTCAGTTGTTATATTAAATTATCCGGTTCATATAATTATATAATTTAACATCGCAGACTTTGTCTACATTTTTGTTTCAGTCATTTGCAGTAATGCTTGATATGTATCGGTAACTCTCTGTGTCGTCCTTTTGGTAGCTCCCTTTTATATTTGATCCAAGTATATGCATCAAATGTTAGTAGGCATATCAATATCTACCAACTGCTAGATTGTTGTAAATCAATGTAAACAGAATAGTGTTTGTATCTTGAAAGAACTGTTGATAAATGTTTTTGTTATCATTTTCTGTCAAGGGATCCTGTATTTTCTGGTGATCCTGTGTTGTTGTTAAGTACACAATTGTTAAGCCGAAAGTTAGAGTTCCATTGGCAAGTTACACCAGCACACCCCTACATGTCTACAGGGACCACACTAGAAAGAAATTACTTAACTTAAAACAAAAAACATGTAACAGTTCTAACATTAATGATATTATCATTTATGATGAGATGGTTAGAAGAAGCAGACCATAGCAAAAATTAACGTTTTTGATCGTTCTTCAGGATAATAAGAATAAAGGTGCTATACGTTAAAAGTGTCATTACAGTTAATCTATCAGAATATGATATTTTGTGACTCGACAGATGTCGGCCAGTATCGTGGGGTGTACATGGACGGATTATGTCCTCTCTGCAGCAAGCAACAGTAGGCACCAAAAGAATATAGTCTGCTTAAATTAGTCATATTATGTATGACCGAAATATATGATAAATATACCTTCACAATGCTAAGTGAACGTTCATCTGTATGTGTCTGATGGAGAACTCATTTAACAACATCTTACAATAGGTGCCAAGTGAACGTTCAACTGTATGTGTCTGATGGAGAACTCGCTTAACAACGTCTTACAATAGGTGCCAAGTGAACGTTCATCTGTATGTGTCTGATGGAGAACTCGCTTAACAACATCTTACAATAGGTGCCAAGTGAACGTTCATCTGTATGTGTCTGAGGGAGAACTCGCTTAACAACGTCTTACAATAGGTGCCAAGTGAACGTTCAACTGTATGTGTCTGAGGGAGAACTCGCTTAACAACGTCTTACAATAGGTGCCAAGTGAACGTTCATCTGTATGTGTTTGATGGAGAACTCGCTTAACAACATCATACAATAGGACATTACTGAAAATTGCATTATAATGACTGTGATATATGTACTATGATATATGTACTATGATATATGTACTATGATATATGTACTATGATATATGTACTATGATATATGTACTATGATATATGTACTATGATATATGTACTATGATATATGTACTATGATATATGTACTATGATATATGTACTATGATATATGTACTATGCATGCAGGTTTGCAGATAAACTTCACCATTTTGTATATTATATACATATCAAGTAAAAAAGCAAAAAACATAATACAATATTGAAAGAATATTCAGAATGCATATGTTTATCAATTATTTGTATCGCCATTAACAAATCAATTCGGCATGCTACTTGATTTGGAGTATGACTATGACAGTACCAAAATATATAGCCTCTAAGCAAGCTACGTAAAACGGGGTTTTGAGAGTGGTATACATTAACATCAAACATAGTCCCCCAGAAAACTCCATAGAGCGGGCATTGAGAGTGGGATAATTTACAATATAATCCCTCTGAAACTACACAGCAGTGTAATGTGAGTGGGATACTTTACAATATAATCCCTCAGGAAACTGCATGCAGCAAAGCATATAGTGGGATTCTTTATAATATAATCCCTTAGCAAACTACACAGAACAGTGTATTGTGAGTGGAATACTTTACAATATAATCCCCAAGGAAACTACATACAGCAAAGCATGGAGTGGGATTATTTGCAATATAATCACTAAGGAAGCTACATGTACATAGAACAGGGTATTGAAAGTGGGAAAGTTCACAAAATTGAAACTCAGGAAACTACATACAACAAAGCATAGGGTGGGATTCTTTTCAATAATACCCCAAGGAAACTACGCAAAACAGTGTATTGAGACAGGGATACTTTACAATATGTCTTTCAGGAAACTACATAGAGCATGGTATTGAGAAGGAGAAACTTACAATAAACTATCCCGGACGTAAAAGCATAGAGTGAGATGCTTTACATATTATTCCCTCAAGAAACTACACAGAGCAGGGCATCGTTTTTTATGCTTAACAATATACAGTATATTGTCCTTCAGGAAACAGGTATTGAGAGTGAGATATTTTAAAATAAAAGTCCTCTGGAAACTATTTGAGCAGAACAAGGAGACGATGCTGCCAACGCCAAACTATGGTAGATGGAGAACATTAAGAAACTGCGTTTATATACATATACAGTATATTATTGAATTTACGAGACGTCAAAACACAGAAAGCCCACATAGAGAGTATTTTTTTAAATGCTGTTATAAAATTGCAATGTCTTTTGTAAACACTGATATCGCATTAACTTGTTCGGGGATTGTGTATGATGTGGGCGTAGGATATTGTTTTGCAGCTACAAGGGCTAATTGGGTAAATTGTGGTAATGTGTAAAACCTCTATCAATAGTCTCAACCTTTGTTATGTGTAGCACAGACAACGAAATAAGGTTATTGCTATCAGAGCAAATCTTATTTCATATTAAACTGAATCAAAAAGGTTAGCAAAATCGATAATACTGGTGTGTGTGTGTGCGAGAGAGAGAAAGAGAGGGGGGATGGAACGGTTTGGAATGGGATGAGGGACGTGCAGGGGGGGGGGGGGGG